GACCGGAGGGGTGAGGAGGATTCTGGGAGGTCACATGACATAAGATTTGCTCTTTCATAGAGTTTTGTTCCAGTAAAGTCTGGTGACTGTATAACCATCACAGAGCCCTCACCTCACTCTAATAAAACCCGAGAGGAACAATGAGAAGAAGATTCTAGAAGTCACCAAGGAGGTAATTGAGCTGCTGACGGGAGAGGTGAGCGGTGCCGGGAATTCTGGGACATGATCCAGGAACAGACGAGGGATGTGTCTGGGTGGTGACTGTATCATTGTGTGTGTCAGGTTCCTATAAGGTGTCAGGATGTCTCTGTCTATCTCTCCATGGAGGAGTGGGAGTATCTAGAAGGACACCGGGATCTCTACAAGGACGTGGTGATGGAGAATGCCCCGCCCCTCACATCACCGGGTAAGAGGAGAGAGCAGTACGGAGGCTCCGCCTACATCCCCCATCATCTGATACACACATAGAAACAATGTATTCAGTCAGTGTGTGTGTTTCCTACAGATGGATCCAGTAAGAGGAACCCACCAGAGAGATGTCCCCGTCCTCTGTATTCCCGGGATCCCACACAGGAAGATCTCAGGTCTCTCGTCCCTGACCCCCTGGACCCACAGGAATTGGGCAGGAGACCTGATTTGTCTCTTCTGCAGGTGAGTAACGGCTATTGATCTTTTCCTTTGCGGCTGAACAGTGAAAGAAGAAGCAGCAGCAGACTGATGAGATCATCTCTCCGTCAGTCTCGTCTATTCTCCTATCAGCACTTCAGCATAGGTGAGCGGCTCCCTGTGCTGCTTCTCCCTCCCCTAATCCGAGCTCTTCTGTATAGGACTGCAAAAGGCTGATACCAGGTCCCAGTCGGTTCAGCTTTATGAGATGTTTTCTATTATTTTGGGGTTTAGGGTGAAGAACGGAACAATATAAAAGTTGAGATTAAAGAGGAAGAAGTGGAGACGTATGTGGGGGGTGACCGGCTGTCCACGGAGGAGGTCGGGATGATGATGAAAAGTGATCAGGATGACATTTCTCTACCGATCAACACAAGTAAGTAACAGACACCATGGAGGGAACAGGTCACAGTTCTATGTCACTTCTGAGTAGAAGGTGTGACGTTTAAGGGATCATGTTGGAGAATTATCAGATCTTCACATCATCAGATAAGATGAGACTGAATTATAAATGGTGGACCATCAACGTTGGGAAGGAGATCCCCCAGAAGAAGTCATCTCCCCTATTGTAGGATGAAGGGGTCGTGCTCCATTACATAGGTTGTCACCACCATTCCTCAATATAACGTCATGTGACCTACAAATGAGGAGGAGATACTGTACACCATATGAAGGTCCATCTCCATTCCTCAATATAACGTCATGTGACCAACAAATGAGGGGGAGATACTGGACACCATATGAAGGTCCATCTCCATTCCTCAATATAATGTCATGTGACCAACAAATGAGGAGATACTGTACACCATATGAAGGTCCATCTCCATTCCTCAATATAATGTCATGTGACCAACAAATGAGGAGATACTGTACACCATATGAAGGTCCATCTCCATTCCTCAATATAATGTCATGTGACCAACAAATGAGGAGGAGATACTGGACACCATATGAAGGTCCATCTCCATTCCTCAATATAAAACGTCATGTGACCAACAAATGAGGAGGAGATACTGGACACCATATGAAGGTCCATCTCCATTCCTCAATATAAAACGTCATGTGACCAACAAATGAGGAGGAGTTCACCAGATGAAGTCATCTCCCCTATTGTAGGATGAAGGGGTCGTCATCTCCTGATTAGTGTTAGGATGGTTGGGGGTCATTTACAGCAAATAAACTCTCATCAAATGTTCTACATACAAATGTCGGGTCCATTGTCATGGAGGAACGATGGTTTTAAGTAGGATGAGGTTCAGATTTGGGTTTGAAACTTCCATGGGTAAGTGGAAGAAGAGCATGCACCTAAATCACCTCACATTACATCCCCTATCCCCATAGATTATTGAAATGTTTGGCAGACACCGGTTAGGCCTTTTATCCCTGATTAAAACTGGCCAATTATACATGGCTGTGTCTTCTGAAGTGTCTTAATTCTTGCAGTGAAACCCCTTTATGTGATATTTGTCTCTAGTTCTAGTTTTAATTTACAAATTGTCCTTCAGTATGGTGTCATGTTTTTGATAAAAGGTGGAGGAAGGGTCCCATTCTTCACCATAACATTGTCACCTATGGACACATATAGTTGTATTGTGAGGTTTGTGTGTTTTGTATGATGGATGGGGGTGGTATTTGTAGTTTGCTGTTATGGGTGCGTCCAATGATGATGGATAGATACGACCCCTGAAGGGCAGAAATGACCCCTGAAGGATAGATACGGCCCCTGTAGGATAGATATGACTCCTGAAGTATAGATACGGCCCCTGAAGGATAGATACGGCCCCTGAAGGATAGATACGGCCCCTGAAGGATAGATACGGCCCCTGAAGGATAGATACGCCCCTGAAGGATAGATACGACCCCTAAAGGATAGATACGACTCCTGAAGGGCAGAAATGACCCCTGAAGGATAGATACGACTCCTGAAGTATAGATACGACCCCTAAAGGATAGATACGACCCCTGAAGGATAGATACGACCCCTGAAGGATAGATACGCCCCCTGAAGGGCAGAAATGACCCCTGAAGGATAGATACGGCCCCTGAAGGATAGATACGGCCCCTGAAGGATAGATACTGCCCCTGAAGGATAGATACGTCCCCTGAAGGATAGATCTGAGCCCTGAAGGATAGATACGACCCCTGAAGGATAGATACGACCCATGAAGGATAGATATGGCCCCTGAAGGGTAGATATGTCCCCTGAAGGATAGATACAGCCCCTGAAGGATAGATACGTCCCCTGAAGGATAGATATGTCCCCTGAAGGATAGATACGGCCCCTGAAGGATAGATACGACCCCTGAAGGATAGATCTGAGCCCTGAAGGATATGGATGACC